GGATTAAGATACTATATATAGGGCCAGTGTGTGGTATGGTGTGGTATGGTTGGCTCCATTCACCTGACTCCATGGTTCAAGTCCTGAACCCAGTGGCTTGAAAAACATGCCAGGCATGTGTGTATGCATGCCCAAAATCACAAGAGGAGAAGGAAGAAAAGATTGTGGTGTGGCCATTCTCCCAGAGGATAATTTCCTCACTTTCCCTCTCTCTCTGGTGAGTGCATGTACCCTATAGGGAAAAAATATTAAAAATAAAACAATCTGCGTAACATTTTATGGAGAGCACAGTTAAAAATATTAGAGTACAGGTAAAAGAAACAATGCAACATATATAATAAAGAAATGCAGAACCTGCACATGGACAAGCTATTTAAATTTGCTACATTTTTGTATTCTTCCCTATGCAAAGAAATACAGATTAGTCTGTACCTTTATAAAAGCAACTGAAAACACAAGAAATTACCTTGAATACCTTGAGACTGGAATGCAACTGAAATAGATGATGCTTTTAATATGCTGTCTCCAATTTTAGAAGCAGAAAAAGCATTATTCCCTATAAACATGTTTGTAGAATATGGAGGTTTCTGCTTAATATTGTTACATTTCCATGCCTTCCCTTTGTTCATTTCTGTTTGGATCATTTTTACTGAACCAATATGAGAATCCAAGTTTGTACTGTCATTACAATAGGCACTCCCATGTACACTGTCTGATATTTTAAATAATCTGCAAAAAAAAATAAAATAAAAAAGGGAAAAGTTGCTTAGAATGTTTGATATTTTAAATAATCTGCAAAAAAAAAGGTTGCTTAGAATCTGGAAAAAAAAAAAAGTTGCTTAGAAGTTGCATAAAATTGGGGCCAGCAGGTGGCGTGGTGGTTAAGGGCGCTGGAATCCCACATGGCTGACCATTGTTCAAGTCCCAGATCTGGTGGCTTGCTCTCTCACTTTCCCCTCTCTCTCTCTAGTCAAACTGAAGAATAGTAATAATAGATTTTTTTTAAAAAAAGAATGCATAAAATCGATTCCTTTAGAAATACCCATAAATTAGGACCAGCAGATGGCATGGTGGTAAAGGCTGCTGGATCCCATATGGCTAATTGCCTGGTTCAAGTCCTGGACCCACCAGCTTAAAAACCACACTGGGTGCATCTGTGTGTCCAAAGATCCTAAGAGGAGAATGGAGGAGAAGAGATTGAGATGTAACCACCTCTCTAGTGGGAAGAAGAGCTTTCTCATTCTCTCTCTCTCTGTCTTCTCTACAGTGGCTGTTGTCTTCACATAATCTAAGTCTCCTACTGTCTCATCCTAGACATATCATTACCCAGAACTGCTCTTCCTGTCAATCACATTACTAGGGCCTAGACAGAGGTGCAGCAGTAATACAATGCTCTACAAGGCTGACCCACATAGGAAGGTTCCAGGTTTGTGTCCCAGATCTCTTTGAATATGAATGGACTGGCTGAAGCTGGGGGTGAAATCACAGTGTGAGGACTCTGGTGTATTTGTTTGTCTCACTGACAGAATGAAGAAAGAAAAAAATAAACTTCTCCCTCAAAATAATAATAATAGTAAATAAATAAATAAAATAAACTTTAAAAAGTCTGATCAATAATAGTCAATCTGATTTCAACCTCAGATCCTTTTAGCTTATTTGCTCAAAGTACCAATGAGAATATGTCTGTATCCATGATTTGATAATACACACACAGTATGCATGCTGTAAAAAATTATACTATATCACACAAAAATAAATACTTTTTTTAAACAAAAGTACTAATTGAGGCATGTGAGGATGCAAGGGTAATCAGGCCCAGACTAGTCTGTCTTTCTGGCGAGTGCATGCGCCCTATAGCAAAAACCTCTCCAAAAAAAAAAAAAAAAAACAAAAGAGTTCAAAAATAAATCCTGATGTGATGTAATAGGAAGGGAATATTTGGTCTCTGTCCCTAGATCCCCCAGAGATCCCTTGGAATTTTCTGAGCAAAAGCAATGTCTTTTTTTTTTCTGAGTTTATGCTAATGAGATGACTCTTGGAGTGCCCTAAATAGCTTCAGGATGGGGCTAATTACAAGAACCAGCCAAGTCATTAGAGTTGGAATTTTGTTCTTCTCCCCCACCAAATCCTCATGAGGGGAAAGAAGCTTGACATTGAGTTAAAGTATCAATGACTAGGGTTGGCCCAGAGCATGCTGGTTAAGGCACTGGATTCCCACATGGTTGCTCATAGTTCAAGTCTCGGTTTCTTTCTTCTCTCTCTGATCAAATTTTTAAAAATAATAAATAAAATTAAGTAAAATAACTCATATGTAAAAAGTATCAATGGTCAATGATTTCATCTATCATGCCTGTGTAATTGAGCCTCCCTTAAAACTTCCTAAACAAGGTTTGGAGAATTTTTGCATTGTGAACACATCAAGGTGCTGAAAGGGTCACATACTCAAAAAGGGTTATAAAAGTTCTACACACCACCCCCTTAGACTTGACTTCCATTTAGAGTTGTATCCTCTCTAATATATTGGTAAATATAAGTAGTGTTTTCCTGAGTTCTGTAATTCTAGCAATTTTTTTTTTTTAATTTGCCACAGGGCACATGCTTTCCCTGGAGAAAGACAGAGAGAGAAAATGAGAATGCATTCCCCATAGGAGATGGTCACACTACAATCCCTTCTCCTGTATTTCTCCTTTCTTTCAGGAATTTGAGCATGCACATATAGGTGCCCAGGGTGTTTCTCAAGCTGCCAAGCCTGAGACTTGAACTGCAAAGTCAGCCATATGGAGTCCACCCACCTTAACCACCATACTTCCAGTTGGCCCCAGCACACTATTGAACTCAAGGTAGTGTTACAGGAACCCCTGAATTTGTAGTTAGCCATATGTGGGGAGGTTGGGTACACTGTTTTTTGGCTGGCATCACAAGTGAGGTCAGGCTTACAGAATTGAGTCTATAGCCAATGGAATCTGATACTAATTCCAGAAGTTAGAGTCAAAATTGAATTGTTGCACACCCAGTTGTTGTCACAGAATTGAAGAATTGGTTGGTAACGGTAAACACCCAGATCTTATGTTTATGGTCATTGATTCCCAGTGAAAGTGCCATAATGCTCAATGTGGAAAGAATAGTCTTGTCAACAAATGGGCTGGAACAACTTGATATCTACATGCAAAAGAATGATAGTAAATTCCTATCTCACACTATATGAGAAAGTTAACTTAAAGTAGAATACAAACTTTTTTTTTTTTTTTTT